AAGAGCTAGCTACAGTAAAGGACCCTTCAGGAATATTACAGTCATAAAATTTAAAACATGCAGGACCACAGAAACCAGTCAATTCCAATTAACAATTGGCCTCACAAAAAGAACAGTCAAGCTGCTGAAGCTTGAAAATTTTGTAACTAAGTTATTCAAGGGATTTATTTCTCTGCTCACAGTAGTTGTCATGCATTTTAGTAGTTTCTCTTAAGCTTCTTGCTCACCACTTTCTGATCTCAAGCTTACAGTGCAACTCCTTCATGCTCTGAAGACTCAAATAACGAAGTTCAAAGTCTGCCGCTTTTTTCACCACTGTGAAAAGAAGAAAAAACACAGAGATATTTGGTGAAATCTATTGAAATAGCCCAGCTCCTTTCACGTAGCAGTTACCTCTTCATGTTTTATGACCGTAAAGAGACTCACAACCCTTACTTACAGCTTGCTTAGTAACATGTGGTTAAACTCAAGTTTCTGTCAGTTAACAAAAGAAGCATGTCATGATCTGAAGGAAAGTAAGCTACAAACATTGTTTATAAATATAACAAAAGAGTTTCCTGTCCCATTGTTAAACTCAGCATGTGATCTGTAAAATAAGAACTGTGTAGGTATGGCCATCTGATTAAATGCCTACCCAAAATATACACCCAATAGTTCCCACGTGGTGAAGTTGCTACATGACTTGTAAACTCAAAGGGATGATATTCACATGTGGAAGTCTCACCCCTGCACTATCTCTTGCCATATGTTGTTTCCCACTACAACTCTTTCCAAGGCATATGGGGAGAGGGCTTAAGGAAAATTATCAGACCAAATGAGTCTTTTAGCCCGAGCAGGATCTGTTCAGATTCCAGGTTCAGTCACTGCAGCCAACAACGAACAAACAAATAAACAAACAAGCAAAACAAAATAATCCAAGGGAGGGCTGTTAAGCACCTTGTAAAACTTAACACAGAGAACTCTGTCATCATGATCCTGAAAGAAAAATAAGCTAAAATATTTTAGTAATGCACTTCACATCTTGCACAACGTTTCCTTTGAAAACAGAGAAGATCTGACTTTTAGCTATCCATTAGCATGAATAAGAAAGAAATGTTCAATACCTATGAACGTAACTTTAAATTTTCCCTTATGACCCATTTAACTGCTCATTTAAAAGCAAATATAACCACTCCCATATTCCATCATTTGAATTTGTGACAAGTCTCGTAAATTTCAAAGGAATATAAAAATGTAATAAAATAGAATATGTACACTACTGCCATGCTATGTATCCTCTAATGCAAGGCATCTGACGTTATTCCAGGTCACTACTACTAACTCCTCAAATCCTATTGTACAGTGAACACTGTGTGCTCCCAGCTAACAGCATTGCTCATGAGCATCACCAATATGTATTTTTACAGGATTTGTGTCTTTTCCAAGCTGTTAGAGTCCTCTTGTTTTTCTAGGAAGTACCTACAAGTCCTGCTACTTTACTGAAAGCACCAGTCTTATAGCATTCTGTGTGAAGACTTCTAACGAGCAGACTTGAGCTCTGTTGAGCTTTCATTATTGATTGTGCAGAAGGAGAAAAAATCATATCTGGTTTGACATATGGGTTGTTTTAGTTTTCTGTGGCCCCTCTACAACTTCTCTGAAAGGGGGCAGAAGTAACACCAACAGAAAATGCAGAAATCTTTTGCAGGACCAGCTGCACAGTGGGATAGCTGGGACGGAAAAATCAGGCATAAGTGAGCACAGAAACCACTGAATCAGACTGGGGAAATTGTCTTATTCTGGTTTAGATTCTGAAAAATCAAAGGATGAGTTAAGGCTCCATAACCTGAAAGAGCACAGGACCATCAGAGCATTCCTAAATTTTGCAGTGGCTGTAATCTCCTGAGTTTGCTCAGAAAAGTGGTGTGGTAACTACAAGAAAACTCTCTAACCCTGAGAATACTCCTGCCATAGCTCATCTGACAGATAGTGCAATCTGCTAGAGGATTCATGTTTGGTCAGAGAGGCTGGATTTTCTTTGTCCAAGGTGGAAGTACCAGTTTTCAGTCTTCTTCCAAAGGGTGCCAATCCCAAAACACCTCAAGCTCTGTGTCGCAGCAACAACATTGTAAATTTACTCGTATCCACAATTCAGAAGGGTTTTCTCCATCTGTATCAGCTGGTTTAAAAAGCAGACATGTTTTTATGAATGGGAAAAAGTACACATCAAGCTAAATATAGGTTGGAAAGGATTGTTCGAAGCTAAAATTAAAAAATCACATTCAGGAGGTTTTCCTTAACCTTGTTAACATCAGGCCTGTTACCAGAGAGGGAAGCAAAGCATAAAAATCCCTTGCCTCACAGTCAGGTCAGAAACTAGGTATGATGGGAAGAAAGTTTCATAAGTCTAAACACAAAAGACCTGAATATTAGCAGCAAAACTTTTTATTGTCTCTGCCACTGTGCAGTCCCCACAAATTACTTTGAGAAATTAGCCACAGATCTTGGATGTGTTATCCCTCGGTAGCATAATAATAAGCATGTCAGATGGCATTTCCAAGGAATGGCAGTCACGCATCTCAGGTTTAGTAGGATTTTGACTTGTTTTATTTTTTGGATCAAAGCAAAAGCTGGTACATGCTGTGTGAGGAGCAGGGCACTAGGGAGTGATGGTTGCAAAACTAACTCCACCACAGAAGAGGAGTGAATATAGTAGCAATTTACCATAACAGGAGCTAAATAATTCCCAAAATTCCTATATTATCTCTAGGGCCACAAGAGAAGAAATAATGTCTGCAGCATTTAAAGTGCTAATGTTTCTTAACAGTGCCACACAAACATTAAACACATTTAAAAGTTACTTACAACACAACTGTCTGGCTTGGAAATTACCTTGACCCACTGCAAACAAAAAAAAGTTTATCAAGCTCAAACTATTAGTATTTTTTAAAGCATATTGCAAAACACTTTCCTTACTCAGTGTCCCTATGCAAGTCTCCTACCTAAAAATGTCTCCTTGCTTCTTCCACCCTATTAGCACCTACTTCTCTCTCCCCAAATCAGAATTCCTATCTCCCTGTCAATCCCAATGCTTTTTGCCTTCAGTATCTCCCACCTTACAAGTCTCCTGTTGAGGGGCCTAAGGCCAACTCTGACACTTTCCTCCTCCTGGAAGAACCAGTCCCAACACTGCCTCAGGTGGTGCAAACCCCAGAGCAGAACAAAGCCAGCAAGGGGTCACCTTGTTCCACCCAGTCTATGGGTGCTGTGCACAGTGTATGTTCTGTGGACAGACTAACACACATTAGCTTGACAGAGGACAGCAAATACACGGTCAGCTCACTTGTACTTATGGCCAGTTGAGAACTACCTTCAAAAACTCAGTTTTGTTCAAAGGCACAACAGAAACACAGTACACAGTTTTCTGTACGACATGAGGAAGTTTCAGAATCTCCTGACAAAGAGCAGCACTCAGCTGGCAGGTAGATGATCTGCTATTGCTGCTAAGGTTAGGAAATGTGTGCTCATGCACACATACATGTGCAAATACACAAAATATCCAGAGCCACTGCTGCCCCTCCTCTCCTGGCATAAGAAGAGAACTCCAGCTGAAAGTTTCAAACCTGAGCCAGACAGTTGTTTAAACAATATTCGGTTGCTACTGGTTTCCAAGTGTAACCAGCGATTGTTTACTGTGTGTGTTGCAACAGCTGTTATGGACATCCCAGAGCCAGCACTAGAACCGCACCAATGCTGCAAAGGAAGTCCCACAGTTTCACAGCAAGCACCAAGGGACACAAAACAAGTAAAGGAGAAGCAGAAAAACAAGACGCATCAGTTGCGCACTCAGTTGTAGCAGCAGCGTGCCAGCCAAGGCATGAGTGAACACTAGACCATCGTTTCTGACTTCAGTGTTCGAGTATTTTCATCTACGCTGTGCCAAATAAGGGGGGCTCAATTAAGAATGGGTCTTATATATTTGCTGATTTTATAATATGCGATGGAAACCTGAACTTGACATCTAAATGCTATAGAAGCAGAGGCCGTGTAACATTAAGAAGAAATTAATTGTAGACAAATGTAGGAAACAAAAAAGCTAATCTGCAAAATCAGCAATGCCTTTCACCCCTCTGATACATTAAACCCCTCAAAACCCACTGAAGATACTCTCATGTGTCTTCAAATAGAGAGCCTGATCCTTTCCTAATTGAAATTATTTTAATTTTTGCCTACTTCTTACAAATAGAAACTTCTAACACAATTCTAGATAGGCACTACCTCCAATATTCCCTCTGCAGTGTCCAGTGTCTGGGTATCAAGTCCAATATTGCTGTCATCAACAAGGTAAAAATCCAAAAAGGCTCTCTGCGATTGGATCTTAAATGTATCCTGTCAGGTAGAAACAGAACACTATTTTACTGTTTTCCATACTGCTGAAGCCCTTCCAAAGATACTGATGCTCCATTTCCTATTTTACTGTTAAAGCTTGTAGATTATGAAAAAATATGCAGAACAGCAAATGGGAAGTTACTGAAGAATTAGAGGAGTGTCACTGATGATAAGTGACATAGGTGCCTAATGTCTCACTGTTGGTAGGAATGATGCAGTCACTGTCCTAGGAAATGGAGACTGCAAAAAGAGGAGGTGGATACTCAACTGCACGTGAATATTCGAAGCCACAATCTTGCCAAAAGGAAAAAATGCACCCATGTGCCTAAACCCAGGAAAATGTCCAGTGAGAATGTGGCAGGATAGACCCACCCTGATAAGACCTAAAATCCAATCAAGCTATCATGCAAGCTATCATGCAGCATCAACTGCTGCAGCCAGGGTACTGTCTTGGTGTTAATTATGCTAAAACCATCCTGGTTCATCACACTTTGAATACACGCCCTACTTTTTGAAGTCTGATTTAACAGAAAAGCTGATAGCTGGCCTGTAAATGTGTGATTAGCAGTCAGTCACTTGATACTATGAGTCCAGTCCCCTCTCACGCAGTCAGGTTCTGCTGGCATAACCCTTCTTGGGGTGTGTGTGGAGATTCCTCCCTTGGGCTGGGGATGCTCCCCACGGTTACTCCTCAAGGTTGAGAGAAAGAGATCTCCCCACAAGTGTTGTTCTAGGTGAGTTACATCAGATCTCTACTTAATATAACTGCTTCAATAATTGCTTTGTTACAGTGCACCATACTCTATGCTATGCTATACTCTACTTTAGATTTTTAGTGTTTATATTGTGTAGTAAATAATTCTGATTAAGATCCTTCGTCTGTTCACCTGTTTGTTAATTTGTCATAATACATTCATTTATATATCAGTTTTGCCATCATTGGGACAAAGTGGTTTAATTATACCTCTATAATTACTTTAAATTTAAACCCTTAACACAATCCAGGGCTAAGATAGGATTCAGCCTCACCTAGACTCCTCTCTGAGAAGGAATTTAGAAAGCAAGGGAGTCCTTTTGATATCTCAAGACTCACTGGCAAGGTTTTACTTTTTAATAACTTTGTCTAAGCCTTCCACTCCCACCTGCAAGAGAGAATAATGAGACTCTGGTATCTGAATAGACCAGAGCAAGTGCTACTGGAACAGTGTGCAGTGACAGTGCCCCAGGTTCAAACCACTGCAGCTCCTCTTTCTGTTGACCACCCTGTATCGGAGGACAGCAATGGTCATTCTGGCATTTTTATTAATTGAGTTACTTCCCTTGAGAATCATAGTGGAGTAAAATGCAGTAATTGTACATACGGAACACAAATAAATTTTAATTTCTTGTATCCACCTTGCCTAGCCTGGCAGAAGATATGGGAGACTTCCCTTAGGTTTCAAGTAGTTTTGGTATCCTCCTGAAGAGTCTTCATAGTGCCTGTTCATAGGAGCATCTCCCAACTCCTGCAATGTCAGCAAGAGCAGGGTGACAGAGCTGAGATTTATGCTGAGCTTACCCCTCTTAGTGTACCATGCAGAACATCCAAACAACTAACTCAGCTCATATTTGTAAAATTTTTTTGAGACAGAAAGACCACACCTTCTAGGAAATCTGG